AGAAAACATTTGTTTCATGTAAACCCTTTTGATTCATTTAAAAGAAAAATTATGGACAACAATTCAACAAATTTTATAAGGGACAAAAGTGTAGGCTCGAGGAATCATAAATGATGATGAAGACAGCTTTTTTATGCGTTAGCTTTTCAAGTTTTCTGCTTAAAGTAATATCAAGTGCACTATAAGCCATTTAATATTTACTAAAATTCACTTTTTATGTTAAGGCATAATTGTTTGAATATACTATACAAACCATTTTTAAATTGTACTATGGAGGGGAGATAACGCTTATGATTTATTAAAACTGAAATTATATCACTTTAAATTACAACGCTTAAATTAAAAAAAAAAAATAAATAAATAAAAAAATAAAAATAATAATAATTTTTGGGACTAAAATTCAAGTGACTTACTTCTCTTTAAGGAATTCTGAAATTTATCCTGAAATGTGGAAAAAAAAATGATTTCTTGACTGGCATTTGACATTTTAAAAGGATAATTTAAATACCGTGAATTGTGTTGTCTTATTTTCGTACTAGAAGATGTAACTCCAAGTTGCTATGAATTGCATTTTGAAGTGTCGTCAGAAATATGTTCAGTGTATTTTTAATTTGAAAATCCTCTTTTCAACGTTCCCCTGATCAAATTTAATAGCAACATGATTTCTATGATTGCATATTTTAAATACTTTGACCCATGCAGCATACAATCTCCATCTTGAAAGAATACATCCCCATAATTTACATTTTTGCGATTTTAATTTTGAGCCATGTTTTCTTTCTGGCATCTCTTATAAGAAAGTATAGCACAAATCTTGTTTTGGGGCACGCTACTTCATCCTCTGCCTTGGCACTATTTTCTCCTAATACTTTTTGTTGAAAATTAGCTGCTTCTTTGGCTCGACATATCCCTACGCCAGTCTCCAGGGATAGGGATTCTGTTTACTCTTTATTTAGTCCTAGGGTGTGTAGGAGTAGGGATTTTGTATACACCTCCATCTGGTCGTAGGGTGTGTGGGAATAGGACTTGATCATATTCCCCTTCTTCATCGTCTGTGTTTATTCATTCCACAATAATAATAATAATAATAATAATAAAGTTCATTTCAAAAACACGCTTCATCCCCAAAGGCTCGAAGCGCGGTACGAAGTCAACGAAATACAAATCTATAATTTACCACATTTAAAACAAACGCAACACTACAAAAACTAATTACTAGCATACAATTGCAAAGTCTTTCTAGCCATTTCAACCCCAAGCAACACAGCCATTATGCATTAACTGGAAAATAAGGTTGATAATAATCCCAGAAGGTGTTTGCGAAATAGGTGTGTCTTTAAATTGGTTTTAAAGGACTCCAGTGTCTGGTTGTTTCTGAGATCGACAGGAAGGGCTTTCCAAATACAGTACAGTACAATACAATAGTTCATACGCATTTCTGTTTAAACAGTTCACATGACACACATCCTTTCTTCATATTTAAAGCATACCGAGGATGAATTCTAGGTTTATCATAATGTGACATGCCATATTTACAATATAAACGACGCAACCAGGTTATATTTTGTGATAAGATATCTAACAGAAAGACGAAAGCTAACACAACCTTACAGCTTCATGTTTAGATCTCTATTCATTTATTACAAACAAAACAACATCGTCTCTGATTAAAATAAACACTGGCTTCTTGGTACAATAAACACTGGCTTCTTGGTACAATAAACACTGGCTTCTTGGTACAATAAACACTGGCTTCTTGGTAGTATATACTGGTTTCTTGGTAAATAAACACTGGTTTCTTGGTACAATAAACACAGGGTCTTTGAAAAAAAAATGGGTTTCTGGGTAAATAAACATTGGTTACTACTCAATGATCACATGAGCGAAGTTACGTTTCAATAAAATACAAAAATAATAAAACATACTGAAACACACAAACCTCTCTATTTGTAATAATCCAGTGCGTATATTTCTTAGTTATTGACTTCTAAGCAGTGCTACGCTAAATGTACTACCCTAATTTTATCGCGTAAATTACAAACTTAATGGGTTCACTTATAAAATAAATACATTGCTCTGTTTTTGGCATGTTTTAAAGGTATAGTGAAAACATTTTGCTATTTTTTACGTAAGAGAATATTGAAACAAATCACTGGACGAACCAGCAATTTGTTATTGGTGGAAATCAGAAATAACATGGCTAAGATGAATATGTAATTGATTAAATTAGTAAAAAATTTTAGGAGCATAATGTATCATGCTTCTAGGGCCCGCCTTCACTATAGCAAGCTAAATCTTGTGGACCAGCAGCGCAGAGAAAGTTAAAATAGATGAAATCAACTAGTTACATGCTGTTATAAACCTATTCTTACTTAATAGGTTCGTTGGCTTCGTTGTCTAGGGGGGTTTAATTATATACACTTCACAACTATAATTCTTAGATGAAATATCTTTATTGATCAACAAATTCTTCAACTGCCGTTACTGTAATCAAAGAACAACACCCCACACCCAAATCTACAATAATAATACGTCATATCCCTTTCCACACAATACGTCACAAGATACTAAGAATAATAGATGAAACAACACACATAATCTCAAACCAACACGCAATCACACTATACACTCAAGTCCCTAACACATGCTTCTAGGGCCCGCCTTCACTCTAGAGCAAGCTAAATCTTGGGGACCAGCAGCGCAGAGAAAGTTAAAATAGATGAAATCAACTAGTTACATGCTTCTAGGGCCCGCCTTCACTAGAGCAAGCTAAATCTTGGGGACTAGCAGCGCAGAGAAAGTTAAAATAGATGAAATCTACTAGTTACATGCTTCTAGGGCCCGCCTTCACTATAGCAAGCTAAATCTTGGGGACCAGCAGCGCAGAGAAAGTTAAAATAGATGAAATCAACTAGTTGCATGCTTCTAGGGCCCGCCTTCACCATAGCAAGCTAAATCTTGGGGACCAGCAGCGCAGAGAAAGTTAAAATAGATGAAATCAACTAGTTGCATGCTTCTAGGGCCCGCCTTCACTAGAGCAAGCTAAATCTTGGGGACCAGCAGCACAGAGAAAGTTAAAATAGATGAAATCAACTAGTTACATGCTTCTAGGGCCAGCTTTCACTATAGCAAGCTAAATCTTGGGGACCAGCAGCGCAGAGAAAGTTAAAATAGATGAAATCAACTAGTTACATGCTTCTAGGGCCCGCCTTCACTATAGCAAGCTAAATCTTGGGGACCAGCAGCGCAGAGAAAGTTAAAATAGATGAAATCAACTAGTTGCATGCTTCTAGGGCCCGCCTTCACTAGAGCAAGCTAAATCTTGGGGACCAGCAGCGCAGAGAAAGTTAAAATAGATGAAATCAACTAGTTACATGCTTCTAGGGCCCGCCTTCACTAGAGCAAGCTAAATCTTGGGGACCAGCAGCGCAGAGAAAGTTAAAATAGATGAAATCAACTAGTTACGTCACCACACGCTTAACTATGTGAATATAAATTTTATTTTTCAATTTTTATAATTTGCTGTCCAAAAACCCACAGAAAATTTATAACAGTACACGTTTACAACATTTTTGTGATAATTTCTGGTGTAATTTTCTTTAAGAACTGGAGACCAGCTTCTATTCAGCCAGGGGCGTCACCCATACCATAACAATGGTAATTTCTTGTAATGCCTAACAACATTTTCCGAATATCAAATGCAAGACCGTAACAGATGTAGCTATTCTATAATAGACACCAACATATAAAATAGTTGGATAGATGCTGAGATAGATGCTGAGATAGATGCTGATATAGATGCTGAGATAGCCGAGAAATTATGCAAATCACTCAAGTCTTAATTGTATACATTAGCAGGTAGAATAAGTTCTTAATTTTCCCAACCTCCACAGTGGTGATGTGTCACGTGTCACAGATTTAACAAAGGCGTTACAACTCATAAAAAATATTATCATTATTTACTCTCTAGCAAAATGTTTCCACGAAGTATATCGTTATAACTCATTAAATAAAAATCTTCCTGGGAATGACATTTGTATTAATGATTAAATCCTAGTTTCCTCTGGTCTGTACATCATTTGATAAATCTTACGAGGTGCATATTAATTTTAATACCATGTAGGGTAGGTGCAAAAGTTTTATCTTAAATTTATCAAAATTATCCATGATTAGTCAAGTAATTAAAATTTCTACTTCATTTGTAAGAATGAGAGAGTATTGCTAGAGACATTAGTTGGTGAATCCCACAGTTAGACGCTGAATCTGAAATAATGCTTGACATTAAAGATGATTATCTAATGCGGTCTCTAACACTCCTTTGGTTAAAATATCGATTCTTGTCATCATTGTTTAAAAATGGCATGATCAGTGGAAATAATTCCAACATAATTTCAGACAGTTGAAAAATCAGAATATTTCGTTGTTACAGTCTCATGATAAATATCTTAAGTCTTCTAGCTCCGATCGGTTGTTTGACGTTTGTAAAAAAAAATAATTTTTAGAAGATATATTTTTAGCACATCAAAATATGTCGCCTGCGGACTGCCATAGTATGTGTAATTGAGAAGACATCAACATATGTCGTCTGTAGTCTATCATAGTGTGTGTTCTTGAAAACAAATCAAAATATAGCTTCTATAGACTATCATAATAAGTGTACTTGAAAATACATAAAAAGTTTTCTTAAGTATGTGTGTTTAATCAAAACACTTGTTAGATATTACTATCAGTAGAATGTGCATAACACTTGTTAGATATTACTATCAGTAGAATGTGCATAACACTTGTTAGATATTACTATCAGTAGAATGTGCATAACACTTGTTAGATATTACTATCAGTAGAATGTGCATACCCCAGATTTATAAAAGTAAGATACTATTTTTCCCCAAATGTAAAATTTAAATTTTCTCCATTCCATCTAATCCGATTTTAAATAAATACATACATTTATTATGTCTAGAATTGTATCTGTTTTTTATTTGTCTTTGATTCTATAGCTCTCATCACACTGATCCAATTACATTAAGAAAAAAACAACAACAAACATTCAAGCTTTTTATAAAAATGGTTGTGAAATGTCTATTTTTAGACAATAACTAAATATGAATATGTGATAACTTAAAAACATCAAGCCAAACTGAGATTAGACTGATCAACAAGAAGATTCTCTCATGGCCAATAGCACAGGTGTTTCGACTGGAGATATTTCATACGGCCTCACGAAAACAATGGCGCTACTGTTGGCCAATATTCTAGCTCCTAGCATCACTATCGTGGGTGTGGTGGCCAATGGTGTCAGCATTGCAGGGTTCACCAGGCTCGGTCTCAGAGACAGCGTCACCGTCTCTTACTTCCTGTTGACCATATCAGACTTTGCCTTCACCATTAGTAACCTGATCATCATCGTGTCCATGATGTTTGTCCAAACAGGTGGTCAGTGGTACGTGGACCCGTTATCATTGACCACTGTCATCTACCCTGTGTACCGGATCTTCTACGACCTGTCCAACACGATTACCTGCTACATCGCCATCGCCAGGTGTTGCTGTGTCGCCTTGCCCCTCAAGTTCAGGTCAACCTTCACGAGGTCAAGGACGTTTGGGATCATCGGTGTCATGTACATAGGATTTTTTGTGGAGTTCGCACCGCTGTTTGCCAACCAGGGTCTTCACGAGGTGTTCTTACCGGCATTGAATGTATCTCGGGTGATCGTTTGGTTTTCGAAGGACAGGGACCAGATAGTCAAAATCATATTTGACAGCATCAATGGGACTTCGTTTCTCATCATCACGTTCTTGATTTCCGTAATCTGTTTGATAATCATCTTCAACGGCCTAAGGTTATCATCTAAATTTAGAATGTCCTTGAAAACTCAGCCCCCGCCGAATGAAATTGATCGAGTAACGGACGGAAAGAAAAACGAGCAAGTGAAGTCAAGCATGTCGGTGTTAGAGATTAAGGTAGTCCAAGGCGTGGCTTTAGTGGTGTTGATATCCGTCTCGTGCAATTTCCCGATGATATGCATAGCTTACAGCCGACTGGCCGTCCCCGAGCTGGAGCTGGGCAGAGCTTACAACAACTTGTATTTTTTTATTCAAAACATCAGTGGTTTTATCATCTCTGTGAAGAATTCCTTCAACTGGGTCGTGTATTACAATTGCAACACACGTTATAGAGCGACTCTCAGATCTTTGTTTGTAAAGATTGGCGGCTTTAAACTATTTAGCCACGAAGCACTCGTCTAAGACCTTCTCATTAGCTCAATCAGACATAAACTCCAGCAGCCCCCCCCCCCCACCTGTGTTCCAAAGAAATGTTAAATCAACGTTAGAAGAGGACGTGTCTCTTAAAGGATCGTTTAATTTTAGCAATGTTTTTAGATGTGTTTGATTGCTACATTTTAATTTTTGTTTAGAAAGCTGTTGGTTCATTTACTCCAAAATAAATTGGTGTTATTGTTTCCTCCTACGATATTTCGATATGCTCAAGTTGATATTTACATACCATTATCTGTTAAGGAACATTTTATCGGATCAACGACTTTTTTTATGGGTTAGCTTTAATTTTAAAAAAAATAGTTGCCGTTTTAGGAAGGTCAATATTCAAAGAACCGTTTTCAGCGTTCGAAATGCACGAGAGAAACAGCTTTAAGCGTCTGTAAGAACTGTCCAAACCGTTGGGGGAAAAAGTGGGGTGTGGTATGTCCCTGGGGTGTGGTATGTCCCTGGGGTGTGGTATGTCCCTGGGGTGTGGGATGTCCCTGGGGTGTGGGATGTCCCTAGGGTGTGGGATGTCCCTGGGGTGTGGGATGTCCCTGGTGTGTGGGATGTCCCTGGGGTGGGGGATGTCCCTGGGGTGTGGGATGTCCCTGGGGTGTGGGATGTCCCTGGGTTGTGGGATGTCCCTGGGGTGTTTGTATAAAATTCACCAGGTTTCGTAAAAATCGGTGATTAAAAATAATCAGACGTATTTGGTGACTCAGAAAAGGCTATAAACCCAAAAATTACTTGAAAAAAGTGTTACTAGTATTTACAATCATAACATCATGAAACATTAGAAAAAAAAGAGATGATAAGCAACAACGTATAAAAGCAATATGCCTATCATATAAATGTTTATAACTTGGCGTTTAAATTTACGAAAATTATATTAACCTTTCGCAAGGGAAATGCTGTTACCTTGGCGCCTACATCACCGAAATGTTATAACCTTAGCGCCTACATCACCGGCGAAGTTATAATATTGGCGCCTACATCAACGGAAATGCTACTAGCCTAGTGCTTACATCACCGAATTGCCATTAACTTGGTCCTTACATCACATTTTTGCACAGGACGAAGTAATAGATAGATGGAGACAAGACTGTGGCGGGTTAATGGAGTCAATATATAACATTATGTGTTCTTTTTGTATGTGTTTAAATTACTATTGAAATTTTTCAAGGAGAGCACTTTTTCATTGCTGCAAGTCTATATCGTTTCTTCTGTATTTCAATGTGTATTTTTGTAGAAATTTAATGGTAAAATTAAATGTACTAGTGTTAACATCACTAGCTTTTGTGTCGTTTTCTTTCATTGCCTAGTATTCGCGGTCCTTTGTTATGTATTGTTTATGTTATGAACCAAATCTTAAATAAAATATATCTTCAAAACAATAACGGAACGGACAATTTCTCTTTAACATATTCCATCATTTGTGATAATAGACTAATTTGGACTTCTGCCAAAAACAAAATCAGGTAAACAATACTTGTTTGCAATAATGTGTTCGTCAAAAGGTTGGAGCATTTGAGCGATTACATCAGACAATATAGAACATTATGAGAACATTTTATCAATAACAAGAGGAAGACTTGGATGAAACAATCAACGTTCCCTTGTTAATTGTCAGAGAAGCTGTTCAAGAATCTCTTGGATTCATCCCCTTGGAATTGGTGTTAGCCATAAGGTTCACGACCCCCTTAATCTTTTACAAGATACGTCGATGTCACTAACACACATTGACACTGTTTGGATTATGTTAAAAAATCCTACCCAAAATGATTGAAACACTATGACAATTTATCATCTTTGGAAAATGATTTTATTAAATGCGTTAAATGGTGTTTTACTCTTCCTGTTGTGCATGAAGATTATGTTAAGGTTTATTCTTAAGTTGTTAAACAATTTTTGGATGAAAGAATGCACTTTCTTTTACTTTAATAACATTTCTTAATGAAAAATTAGTCCGTTTAGAAAAATAAGATAATATCTTATAGCCCATGTCTTGACCCTATTCTACTTCAACATAGAGCTGAAGTGTCGATTACCCCTTCCCCCCACCCATATGTTTTTTTTTTTAAATTGACGTCACTGGGTAAATGTGCTATGTCATCCCTTACCCACTCCATAATTTTTTTGGAAAATGTTAACGTTCGAATGCGTTCTATTTGTTCTAAAGAATGCTCAAAGGTGATGAAATTTCTAGAATTTCTTTACCATATAATTCTGATTTAATACCAATGCATAGACCGGCCGGTTTCTGGCCACGAGAGAGGTTTTTGCTATAACTCCCAACATATACGAGATTTTATATAATAGCAATATTTTTTTTTTGTGCGTTTAAATTAAAACAAATTGTATTTTTCAAAGAGTTTACCTTTCCACTTGCTGTACTGTTAGGTTATACGTTTTTTTGTTTGTTTCTGTATTTGAATTTGTATTTATATGGAAATCTAATAGTTTAATCAATTGAAATATTTTAATATAACTATCTTTGGTATTGTTTTCTTAGCATTCTTAATTTCTCAGTCCTTTGTTACGTATTGTTCATTCTACGAGCCAAACCTTAAGACAGATTAAAACTTTAAAACCATAACGGCACACTAAACATAATAATGTCCGTAAGTTTCTGTGTAATCGGAATTTTGATTAAATCGGGTTTGCTTGTTTACGTACTGGTTGTGTAATATATAGTTAACGTGTACCGATTTTTGTGTGACTCTCATTGTTTATTTGAGCGCAGGCTGACACATGTGAGAATAGTTCAGCACGATATATACATGTGGATCAAGAAGATAAGCGGTCAAGGAATCTGTGCTCAGGTCAATCATGGGAACTTTTCACTAAGAGTTTTTGTAATATTTCCAAAAAAAATCCCAAAGAAACATGAGGCAAAGAAGAGCACCCGAGGCAAAGTAGGGGGCATTTTTCTTTGGTGTTTGGGTCTGGGGGATTCTGTCTGTAGAAGTATTGCCTAGAGCATCGGGTCTCAACCTGTGGTTGGCAAACCGTTTTGTGGGTCGAACAACCCTTACACAGGGGTCACGTAAGACCATTATAAATCAAGTATTTATGAAGCAGCAACGAACATAATTTTATGGTTGGGGGTAGCCAGAACATTAGGGACTGAATTAAAGGGTCGCGGCAATAAAAATGTTGAGAATCACTAGTCTAGAGGCTTTTATCTGTGAAAGTTATGCCTGGAGTCTTTTGTCTGAGGATGATCTTTATGTGGGGGAGTCTTTTGTCTGAGGATGATCTTTATGTGGGGAGTCTTTTGTCTGAGGAGAATCTTTATGTGGGGAGTCTTTTGTCTGAGGATGATCTTTATGTGGGGAGTCTTTTGTCTGAGGATTATCTTTATGTGGGGGAGTCTTTTGTCTGAGGATGATCTTTATGTGGGGAGTCTTTTGTCTGAGGATGATCTTTATGTGGGGGAGTCTTTTGTCTGAGGATGATCTTTATGTGGGGAGTCTTTTGTCTGAGGATGATCTTTATGTGGGGGAGTCTTTTGTCTGAGGATGATCTTTATGTGGGGGGAGTCTTTTGTCTGAGGAGGATCTTTATGTGGGGGAGTCTTTTGTCTGAGGATGATCTTTATGTGGGGAGTCTTTTGTCTGAGGAAGATCTTTATGTGGGGGAGTCTTTTGTCTGAGGAGGATCTTTATGTGGGGGAGTCTTTTGTCTGAGGATGATCTTTATGTGGGGAGTCTTTTGTCTGAGGATGATCTTTATGTGGGGAGTCTTTTGTCTGAGGATGATCTTTATGTGGGGGAGTCTTTTGTCTGAGGATGATCTTTATGTGGGGAGTCTTTTGTCTGAGGAGGATCTTTATGGGGGGGGGTGTAGTCTTTTGTCCAGACTTTCTTTTACAGTGCTAAAAATGAAAATAAAACGCTTAGTTTATATCAATGTATCCACTTAGGCCATTGTGACGTGACGTACGTTTTCTAGGGTATGGTCCCGTGTATACTAGCCACAGACCAATTTGTAAGGGTCTGGAACCCCTGTTTTCTAGCCCCTACAGAGCTGATGTGTTGAATAGTCCATGTATTTATTAAAACAATCGATGCATAGCTTCAAGGTTCATATGATTTATTGCCTCCATCTTCCCGACATTGGAAAAATGCATAGTAAACATCCGCTGGTGTTCAGAATACAAAATTTGTGTCCAGAAAAATACTGGACATCATATAAAAAAAAAATTGCAAAAGTCCTCTGCCATCCGTAGAAAAATCTCCCCGCACAAGCTAACGTCCTCACATCCAATCCACCGCGTTCGCCCCTGTCATGCTCTCTACTCTTAAAAAAAAACAACCTCACACCTTTTCACACAGTCCTACCATCACGTGGTTCCTCCCGACACACCACAGCGGTCACACGTGACCAGAGAAAACTCGTGGGGCACACGAGGAAAAAAAAACCCACACAAGACTGTTCAGATAACCTCATACAAGCAGACACAAACACTCACGCGATCTGACCGTGACAGCAATCATGTGGAGCTAAGAACCAAGCTACCAACAAAAGCTCAGGAACATACACATTGTTAATTGTTCTTTAACATCAACATTTTTATATAATCACTTATCATGGGCGCCCGCAGGTAGGGGCAAGGTGGGGCACTCCCCCCCCCCTGGATTGATTGGATAAAATAGACACAAAATTTATTAAAGTAAAGAGAAAATAAAGAGAAAGTAACTAAGCTGATGTCCTGTCCGTTCGTTCACAATACAAAATACGCTACAGTAAATTAAAACTATATTAAAACATTACTAAAAGATTAGTGCATCCCCCCCCCCCCGAAAGTAAAAGAGAAAGTAACTAAGCTGATGTCCTGTCCGTTCGTTCAAAATACAAAATACGCTAAAGTAAATTAAAACTATATTAAAACATTACTAAAAGATTAGTGCATCCCCCCCCCCCGAAAGTTAATCAATTTTTTTGCCCCCCCCCTAGAAAGTTTTCCTCGGGCGCCCCTGTCACTTATGAATTATAAATTATAATTTTTTTAAATTGTCGTCAGCGAAATAATGGCGGTGAAGTGACGTCAGAGAAATAATGGCGGTGTAGTGGCGTCAGTTAAACGGCCGGTAGTGAAGTGGTGTCAGTGAAATGATGGTGGCGAGTCATCAAAGATACCCTCACCCGTGGTAAAAAAGAGAACAAAGGAAGAAAAGAACAAGACCATAAATCTTGTGTTAGTATAGCGCTTCCCCTGTCTCATTAGAGCATCGCCTTGTTTGATGAACAATTTATTAACATTTATATTTAAGTATTTATAAGAAAAAGTGTTTTACTTTTTTCCCCACAGGTTAAGGTGTTTAGCCAAGAAATATCCTTTTTCAGAAATATATATATATTTTTTTCTATGCATATCTATCTTTCCCCATTAAATGAACCGACCAAACATCAAAGGTCATCCCCACAAAC